GTCAGAGATGCCCCCGCGGGTTTAATTCTGCACGTTTCCAGGAACGTGGGCAATTCCTCTAATGCCCTTTCCCGATGAGCGTGAGCAGCAGAGCGCGGGGTGGGCAGTGAGGGGCGCGGCGTGGCTGGGCTTACTCCCGCCAGGCTGCCCCTGCGGGAAGTGTGGGTGCTGCGGGAGGCGGGGGATTGAGGTGGGAGGGCACTGGGTGTGGAGCACCTGCTGGAAGCACTGGGCGAGCACCGGGGAAGACGTCAGGTCAGCTGTGGTGCGTAAGAGGTGTGGCTGCTGGGATTCTCTGTGCAGTAACTGGTTGGCACGGGCTCTTGGAAAGATGGAGCCTCTGTTCTCCAAAGGTCTGGTTGGGACGGAGCATCCCCCCGGTAAGTGAAAGGAAGCGGTCGTGCTCAGACTGGAAACAGGGAGTTTAGTTTGATTTTTAAATAAATAAAGCTGCTGTATGAGCGGCCACCACGTGTAAGTATAATGGGTGACAAGTTGCCTTGGGGCGCTCAGTGCACACCTGGGCTTCGTTCCGTCTCCCAGTGGGGCTTAACCCCTGGTGTGTCCACCTTGGCTGAACGTTGGCCCGAAGCAGCGCATCTCCTTTTATCGTGAGTGGCTGTGAGGCAGGTCCATGTCCCGGCTCCCTTTTTGGTCAAATGAAAATTATAATTACTTGCAGGGCCCTTCTTTCTTTTTCATTTGTTTATTAAAAAATATTCAGTGTTTGTTCACGATGTCCAAATTACTCTGGACCCTGGAGAGATGTACAATGTGTCCTCTAGCCTGGTAATTCTAACCCGGGGTGGAGACCAGGGTGGTGCATAGACCGTGCGGCCGTGGGTCAGATCCTGCATCAGGAGCGAGGACGGATGGGCGCACTTGGCTTCTCCACCTAATTTCACCTTCCTTCTAGTCAAGTACAAACCCGTTATCCAGCTTAAACTTGTGTTTGTGTCAAACAAGAAAGTGAAGAATTAAAAACTCTGTGAGAATGTGTCACGAGTATATGCTCAGCACACTTGGCTGTGGTCACAGACCGTGGGCGTCGTTTACAGCGGGAGACTCTCCAAGGAGTGGAGCAAGGGCAGGGTTTCAGGAACAGCTATGTCCAGGGTTCAGGCAAGAGCTTTTATAGACTATTGATCAATTCAAACAACATTTATCTACCTTTTTAGTTTCACAAGATTGTACCCCCCCCGCCCGTCCCCCAAAGAGGCTTCTATTGATAAATGTTATGAGTTTGGCCGAATTGAGACTTCCTTTAGAACTGATTGCTCTCGCATTCCACTTGCAAAGCTTGTTGGTTGGCTGCAGGTGGGATACACTGAAAACACGGTAAGTTATTTCAGCAGAGTTAGGTTGGAAGGGGATTTTTAAGAAATACCTGTGTCGCGGCTTGCTTCTGCTCTTGAGGCTTTCAAATGTAAATAAGGTCCAGCTGCAGAAAGCTCGAAGAATAATATATAGGTTTAGTACTGAATTCCCGAAGGAATGGGGCAGGCGTTTGCATACCAAATACAGCGGTCTCGTGCTCCAGTTTCCCGTGAATCAGGGTTTTATTAACAGACCACAGAATCTAAGTTAGCTTTTTATTTATTTTATTATTTTAATTAATTTTTAAAATCAAAGTATGATTTACAACATTAGTTTCAGGTGTACAACAGAGGGATTCAATATTTTCATAGATTATACCACATACAAAGTTACTGTAGAATAATGGCTGTACCAACGTGGATTTGAAAGAAACAAGAGTGCTGGTGGTTTGAGAATCCCCCAGAGGGCCAGAGCACAGTTGCAGGGAGAAATGCCTGGAATCCAAGCAGAAATGCAGAACCACTGGCCCACGCCCACCAAGCAGCTCCCACCCTTGTGTCTACAGCTGGAAAAAACACAAGGCTGCACCCCTGTGCTGCCTGCGATGACTTCCCGGTGTGGGGCTGCCCCTTCCCACTGCTGACTTCTGCCCGGGCAGACCCTGGTCCACGTGGCATGACAGCTGCAAGGCCTTCTGGGAAAGGCCATCTATGTCCCCCCGGGTAGACGGGTCTCCCCCTGGGTAGACTGGTCCCCCCTGGTAGACGTGTCCCCTGCGTAGACGGGTACCCCCTGCGTAGACGGGTCCCCCCGGGTAGACGGGTTCCCCCAGGTAGGTGCCTTGTGCTGCTGCTTCTTGGAGAGGGCAACTGAAATGCCCAGTTCATGTCAGGCTTCCTCAGACCCGAGCTCTTTCTTTGCCTTCACTTGTCACCACTCTGATTCTAACTATGCTGATTTATTTCCTTTGTTGGTGCATGTGAACTCTGTCTCTGAAGCAGTTAAAACAAAAGCAAACTGAGCTCCTCCCGGGAGCAGAGGCTGAGCTCAGGGACAGTGGGAATCTTTACTGAAGGGACCGATGAAACAGGAGAAATGATTGTGCGGGAAGGAATCGCTGGACCCAGCGCCCCCTTTGTCAGAGGACATGTGGAGAAAGAAACGCTGGTTTCAAGTGTGGTTAAGTTGTATTTTTAATGGGATCAAATTTTAAAAAGCTTTTTGGGAATAAAAATACTATCCAGTGACAAAGAGCCGGGAGCAGAAACCCCCCTGGTCCGCGGAAGACAGAGGCTCAGTTTTCCCATTAGATTAAAAATGTAAGACGCATCCAAGGACTGGAATGGTGAGAAGACAGAGGCAAGGACTTCAGAGTGCTCTTGTGGTAGCTCTGTGACCTCTCCTTCAGCAGGAGTAATGGTTCCTGTCAGGCAAGTTAGGAAATACTCCCATTTCATGAATCTAATTATCTACAAACAAGCTGTTGGGGTAGACGAGGTTGGTTAAAAATACTTAATATAGAGGCCTTTCTTTCCCCCTCCGTATGTTTATTGGGTGAGTGGAGTTTTTATTTGTAAATAAAAGCCTCCATTTATTTTGACTGCTTGTGACAAAAACCCCTATCAACAGTAGTTTCAGTGCATAAGGTTTTATTTTTCCCAGTAGGCGGGCTGCCCAGGCCTGGCATCTCAGTTTCCATGAAGGCCTCGGGGACATACATGCTCCTTCCAGTATTCTGGCCTGCAGGCCCTAGATCCTGGCCCTTGTCCTCACACCCCAAAGTAGTGGCTGGAGCTCCAGCTGACACATCTACTTTCCAGCCAGCCGGATGAAGAAAGTGACTAAAAAAAAAAAAGAGAGAGAGCGCCTCCCCTCTTTTCAGGATACTTCATGGAAGCACCATCCAACACTTTCTAGAACTTGGTCACCTGGCAACAACCAACTGATATCATTTGGCTGAGGGGCAGAGGCTTGGCTAAGAACCAGTTTTCATTATTAAAGAGCAAGAGCAGTGCTGGGTGCTGGGCAGTGATGAGCAGTCTCTGGCGCAGCTGAGTTGAAGGAGCCATTTTTATAGATTTCTTTTTAAAAAGGCGGGTGGTGCTGATAACTTCGAGGACAGTAGGGCCTCCTTTCCTGGCCGAGCTCTTCAGAGCTGCCCTGGCCGTGCAGTTTCACAGGCGCTGGCTTTAAACTCTGTTTCCTAAGTCAGTCTTGAAGCTTCAAGGTGCACCGTTGGGTTTCCACACCTCTTTTCTCTGACCTTAACCCCAGGGAATAGGACTCATTGCTGAATGATGGTCAGTGTTGGCTTTTAATTCCCCACGGACACGGCTGATTCCATCTGCCTTGGCCCGCGGAGAGCAGAAGTGAGGCGGTGGAAGTAACTGGAAGAATCCTTCACTGTAATCTTACAGTATCAGTCTCCTTTCGTATCCCCCTTCCCTCTGCTTACTATTTAAAACAAACAAACAAATTAAATGAAAAGAAAGCACCTGCACGAGTCTCCCAGGGCCATCGTCACGAGCTGCCACAAACTGGATGACAAAATCCAGAAATTTACTCTCCCCCGGGTCAGGATGCTGGCCGTCTGAGGTCCGAGTGTCGGCTGGCCTGGCCCCCTCTCCCGGCTCCTGGGGGTGGCTGTCCGTCCTGGGCCTTCCTGGGGCTGCCGCTGTGCCGCTCCCGCCTCCACCTCAGCGTCCCGTGGCCGCCTGCCCTCTGCTGTCTGTCTGTCTTCATGTGACCTTCCCCCACCGGTGTCTCTTCTCTTCTTACAAGAACATCCACTACATTGGATTAAGGGCCACCCTACTCTGGGATGACCTCATCTTAATTTATATCTTAATTTCATCTGCAAAGACCCTATTTCCAAATAAGGGCACATTCTCAGGTACTGGGGGTTAGGACTGTAACGTATCTTTCTGGGGACACAGTTCATCTCAGGACAGCCCAAGTCCATGCTTGAGGCTCAGGCCCAGCCCAGACCTACAAAATTGGACCCCACATTTTCACAGGCTTTGGCGACAGAGCAGTTGCTTCCATTGGCCTGACCTGGGGTGGTCGTGCCGAGAGGTGCAGAAACAGGTCCTGGTCGTGGGTGGCACCTTGCATCCCAGCATGAGGAGTGCGTGGGATGGGGTGCACCAGGAGAGGGCCAGCGAGTCAGGGAGAAGAGGGCTGCCTCTGCCCCCATCTCACACTCACTCCCCACAGTTACTACCTGTTGCATTTTTGTTTTTTTCCCCCCAGCTTTATTGAGATATAATTGACACACAACATTGTGTAAGCTTGAGGTATAAAACACTACTTAATTAAAAAAAATTGAAGTATGGTTGATTTACAATATCATGTTAGTTTCCAGGGTACAACATAGTGATTCAGTTGTACATATATATATATATATATATGCATATGTTCTTTTTCATTGTAGGTCATTTTAAGATATTGAATATAGTTCCCTGTGCTATAGTAGGACCCTGGTGTTTATCTACTTTGTATATTGTAGTCAGTATCTGCAAATCCCAAACTCCTAATTTATCCCTTTCCCCTTCTTTCCCCTTCTGCAGCCAGAAGTTTGTTCTCTGTGTCTATGAGTCTGTTTCTTTTTTGTAAATAAGTTCATTTGTGTCATTTTTTTAGGTTCCACATATAAATGATTTTATGACATTTGTCTTTCTCTGTCTGATTTACTTCACTTAGAATGACCATCTCCAGGTCCATCTATCTTTCTGCAAATGGCATTATTTCATTCTTTTTTATGGCTGAGTAGTATTCCATTATATATATATATATATATATATATATATATATATATACCACATCTTCTTTATCCAGTCATCTGTTGATGGGCATTTAGGTTGCCTCCATGTCTTGGCTATTGTAAATAGTGCTGCTGTGAACATTGGTGTGCATGTATCTTTTCAAAGTAGTGTTTTCATCTTTTCAGATATATACCCAGGAGTGGAATTGCTGCGTCATATGGTAGTTGTATTTTAAATTTTTAAAGAAATCTCCACACTGTTTTCCATAGTGGCTGCAGCAAATTACATTCCCACCAACCAACACTACTTACTTTTGGATAAACATTTGATTGATCAAAGTTCTAAATTTTACAACTAGAAATAACTCACAAAATGCCAATGTCTCATTGAGGCCATTAGCATCTTGAAATAGTGGACTGAAGTGACCAATGACAAATGTCCTTTCCCAGAAGGATAAGGAGAGCAGGGCTGGAGGGCACATCTTGGCCAACATGTGGTTACGTCCAATTCTATGAAATCTAATAGAAGCTGCTACATGGGGGTTTTTATGCTGACCCCTCCCCACCCACCCACTCAGAGCTCCAGGAGAATCGAGTCCTCCCTCTTTCCTCTTCTGTGGGAAAGAACAGAGTTCGGATTCTGAGAGTTTGAGCCAATATATGAACCCTGTGGACATTCACATTTTGTGTATCTGAAGGCATGAGACTCAGTTTGCCATTAACAACATGAGAACTCAAGCCACCTGTTACGGGGATGGGGGGAGAATCAAGTAAGGCAATACACAGAGCTGCTCTGTTGGCTGTCTGCACAATCACCGTTGGCGTGGTGGCGTTTAAAATTTGGGAGATGTCTGGGTAAGAGAGCATCATTCTTGGAGCATTTGTTGAATAAAATAATGGGCTCTAAGATGCGGTTGCTGTTCTTAACCTCTGTGATTCTGATGCAGAGACGGGACATCCACCTGACATCCTAATGAGGATGCCAGGTGTAAGGGCTGGAGGATGCTGTGGGGTGGGGCCTCCAACATGGGGTCAAACGGGGACGCCAGGTGTGAGGGCTGGAGGATGCTGTGGGGTGGGGGCTCCAACATGGGGTCACACAAGGGGCACACAACATGAGGTCACGGGGGCTCCAGTGGTTGGGGAAGCCTTTATAAATGAGGCCCAAGGCAACTTCTGTGAGTTGGAGAGACAAAGCTAAGCAAACGAGACGTCACAGGCCCCCAACTGCCCTTAACCGCCGGCCAGCCACCTGTGGCTGTCTTGAAGGGTGACCTGATCACACAGACGTGATGGGAGGGGCATCAGAGGACTAACCAGGAAGGCTGTGTGCACAATTTGATCAAGAGGATCAGAACACGATGGAGCAGGGAGCGGGTAATCTGTTTCTCTGAAATTCTAATTAGGGGTAGCAACTGGGTTCTGTAATTTTTTCTTTTGTTCCATCTCCACAAAACCAATTCAGTCTTACTGCATCTATACATTACCATGCGTCCTGGCCATAAGCAGGAGAAGGCCTGTTTAGTTTGTTGCCTTTTGGCTTTTAGTGAAAAATCGATTTATTTCAGCTTACTAAGCTATTAGTGCCTATTGGATATTGACTTCCGTTTTCTCTTTAAATCCCTGTCCTGCGTGCCCTTTCTCAGACACTGGGGAAGAGTCTTTCCTGACTTTAAAAATGGTGCACTCGAGACCGCTGGGAAGCAGAGGAGTGAACCAGATGCTCACTAGGTGTTTCAGAGACCTTTCTGGTTGAATTATTAAATTCCCTAAGTCTTCTAAATTCCCTGCTCAAGCATCAACTTCATTAATTCCATGACCTGTTAAGAAGTGGTACCATTGAGAACTGAGTGGCATAAGCCTTGTCTGAGGGTACATGAAGGCTTTGGCAGATTATAAGGCAGTGTTTTCTGGAACAGGAGAGGAAGATTCATAGTACCTGTGAAGGCTAATTTTATGTGTCCATCTGACTAGGCTATGGTACCCTGTTGTTTGGTTGAACACTAGTCTAGATGTGACCATGACAGTATTTGGTAGATGTGATTAACATCTTCAGTCAGCTGGCATTAAGTAAAGGGGATCACCTTCCATAATGTGGGTGGGCCTCACCCAATCAGTCGAAGGCTTTAAGAGCCAAAGCAGGGTTTCTAGGGAAGAAGGAATTCTGCCTCAACCCTGGAGCACAGAAGGCCCACCTGGGTTTCCAGCTTGCCAGGCTGCTCTGCAGATTTCAGACTCAAGACTGCAACACTGGGGTGTGGGGGGCGGGACATAGCTCAGTGGTAGAGTGTTTGCTTAGCATGCACAAGGTCCTGGGTTCAATCCCCAGTGCCTCCATTAAACAAACAAACAAACAAACAAACCTAATTGCCCACCCCGAAATAAAATTAAAAAAAAAAGAAAATCAAGTGGGCATATCATTAAAAAAAATCCAAAAGAAAAAGACTGCAACACCAACTCTTACCTGACCTTCTAGGTGGTCAGCTGACCTGACAAGTTTCAGATGTGCCAAGTCCCTGCAATCACGTGAGCCAGTTCCTTAAAACAAATCCGTCACATACATACACATCTCTGATTGGATCTGCTTCTCTGGGGACCCTGACCGACACACCTGGACCAGCAGCCTGCTCTCCCAGGCTCAGGGCATTCTGGGTAATTGCTGGCGATACTCTCTCCTCCGGAGCCGGGGAGCGGCCGCAGAATCGCCTGGAGGAGGCTGCGACTGTTGTCGTTCTGCGTCGGCACTAGAGGGAGAAGCTGTTCGCTGTTCTAATTCTAGGGGAACTTTGTGGATGTGAGCTAGTAAAACAAGTACTTGTTCTCAGATTAAGTCCCATCTAATTAATTTTTCAACTAAATATTTGTGGGCTTCTGATGCCAAAGTACTGTGTTTAACATTAAGGGGATAAAAGATGGACAAGGCTGGGAAAGATCTGGGCTGAGCGTGTCTTCAGCGAGGAAGTGGCCGAGGCAGAAAGAGCATCACTAGTTCCCATGACCCCCACCATCCACTGCACCTGATAAAATGCGGAGACCGGAGGGAGGCAGGGCAGCCCGGGCTGACGCCACAGTGGGAGTGGACCACGCAGGCACCTGCCATCTTGAAGCCAGGGCTGCCTGCGTGGGTTCAAGGTTTAAGAGGACATGCCTACCCCATCCCACCCCACTCCACTGTTTTCCTTTGGGGGGGCTTTATTTTAAAAAACTTTAATTGAGGTAGTCGATTTATATATTATATATTTATGGTTGATTTTTGATGTGCTGGTTTCAAGTGTACAGCAAAGTGATTCAGCTTTACATACACATATATATATTCTTTTTCAGATTCTTTCCCATTCGAGGTTATTACAAAAGCTATTGAGTACAGTTCCCTGCGCTGTACAGTAGGTCCTTGTAGTTTATCTATTTTATATATACTAGTGTGTATCTGTTAGTCCTAAACTCTTCATTTATCCCTCCCCACTCTTTCCCCTTTGGTAACTGTAGTTTGTTTTCTTTGTCTGAGAGTCTGTTTCTATTTTGTAAATAAGTCCATTTGTCTCACTTTTTTTAATTCCACATATGAGTGACATCGTATGGTATTTTTCTTTCTCTTTCTGGCTTATTTACTTAGAATGACCATCTCCAGTTCAGTCCATGTTGCTGCAAATGGCATTATTTCATTCTTTTTTACGGCTAAGTAGTATTCCATTGTATAAATATCCTACATCTTCTTTATCCAGTCATCTGTTGAGGGACATTTAGGTTGCTTCCATGTCTTGGCTATTGTAAATAGTCCCTCTGTGAACACTGGGGTGCATATAATTTGAAAAGATACGTGCACCCCACTGCACCAATGTTCATCAAATGTCCTCTTCAAGTCAACTAGCTATTATGTGATGGCGGTCACTGGGTGATGTTTTTAAGCGGGAAGGAGGGCCAGCAAACGCAGGCGTAGAAAGCAGTGATTGTGCTGTGCTCTGGCGTGTGTGGTGCTCTGCTGGTCGTGAGGTGTGATTGAAATAACAAATGATGCCATAAATAAATGAGGAGCTTTTAAATTAACAGCAGCCCAAGATTGGAGATTAATTTTTTAAATGTTTTCTGAGAAGAAAAATGAAGCAAATAAATTCCGACAATTAGGAAGTAATGAAGACCTTGCACGGAGAGCTTATTGCCAAAGGCAGAGACGGGAATTCACGGTGGGTCTGAAGCAAATGCAGATCGCAGGCTCAGATTCGAGCAACGTCGGGCATCAAGGGAACTGGCTTGCTCGCTTTGTGAACCCAAGTAGTCACTTTGAAATCGCTCAGGGAACGTGCAGAGAAAGCCAGTCGTGGGGAGGAAGAACTCTAGGCCCTCAGTGGATCTGAGGACTTATATATTATATAAATGCTCTGCTTTGTAAAATCCCCAGTGGCTCTGATGGGGGCGTCAAGGGGCGCGTGGTAACGAGCTGGGTCTGCACTGAGCTGATGCTCTGGGATGCGCAACCTCGTGGCTGGTGGCTGGTGGCTGGTGACTGTTGGCAAACGTGACCGTTGGCAAAAGGACCCAGGACCCTGGACACACAGACGGGCTCCTGAGGCTGGAGGAGGTGAGCAGTGGGTCTTGGATGCATCGCACCTCACAAATCAGGAACGTTTTGGGCTGTGGGCTGTTAGCTCCTGTTGGTTTTTTTAGATCTAAAGCACATACTCATGAACATTCCCTTTTAATCTTTTTAAAAAAAATTAAATTTTTATCAGTTTTTGGGGGAGGTAGGTAATTTGGTTTATTTATTTATTTATCTTTAATGGAGGTGCTGGGGATGGAACCCAGGACCTCATGAATGCTGGGCATGCGCTCTACCACTGAGCTCTGCCCTCCCCCTTCCCCCTTAATCTCAATGTGATCCAGCAGCCATTGAAAATGTGTAAACATAGACCATGGCCTCTTGCTTTGACGCCCTCCGATCGCTTCCTCCTCAGCACAGATCCTGCTCCAGCTGCTGGACCCCTGGTGCCGACGCTGACCCCTCTCCACGCGCTGCCTCTGCCTGACCCTCCTTCCCGTGGGTTTACTGCGCGCCTCCCGCGCTGCGATAAATGCCTTGTTGATCAGCACCGTCTCGTGCTCTGCTTTGTAAAATCCAGCAATAACGGTAGCAGCCCCCACAGGTGGCGCACCAGGCCCACCCACGAATCCGTCCCGCCCTCATCGCGGCGGGGGACAGGCCCCGCGTCGCTGCGTGTTTGCTGCGTGCCGGGCGGTTTGATGGTGTCCTCAGATCCACCGAGGGCCGAGAGTTCTTGTTCTCCTTTTATAGAGGAGCAAACACAGAAGTTGACTGGGGTGTGGCCAAGCCGGAGTCAGTGGAGGAGGAGGAGGACTTGAAGGTACCAGGTCCTCGGCGCAGAACGGCAGACCGCCCGTCCCCCTGGGGCCTGCGGACACCCACATCTGTGTGGCTGAGCTGTGCGGCCGGGCAGAGAGCGTGGTGAACTGAGGCACGTGCTCTGCTCAGGTATTTGTTGGGGGCTGAATTATGCCCCCCAAAGTTGTATGTTGAGGTCTTAATTCTGGTATTTCAGAATGTAAATGTACTTGGAAATGGAGTCCTGATGTAATCAGCAGATATGATCAGTTAAGGGGCGGTCAGGCCGGAGTAGGGTGGCCCTAATCCCGGTGACTGCTATCCTTGTGAGAGAGGGAAATTCGGACGGGCCCTTCCCACGGGGAAAGCGCCACATGGGCGTGAAGGCAGAGCAAGGACGAACAGCCAAGCCCCGGAGGCTGGAGTGGGCCGGCCCGCCTCCCCCGCATGGCCCCAGGAGGAGCCGGCCCTGCCCGCATCTTCGTCTCGGACTTCCGGCCTCCGGAACACATTTCTGCCGTGTAGGCCCCTCAGTCTGAGGTGCTGTGTCATGACAGCCCTAGCAGACCAATGTAGTGTTCGCATTCAGGTCCTCAGAGACACTGGTTCCTCCAAACCCAGCAGCCCGTGATCCGTGCATGGTCAAAGCCGGGCCGCTTCGTGGAAACGTCCGTGAACTTCCTCCCCGCACTGACCAGCCATCTGGGGGTGGAGGGCTCCCCTTATTTGCCTAACCACGCTTGGAAAAGAGGGGGAGGAACGTTGCTTAAACCTGGAACAGGTATCTTCCTTCCCTTGGCCAGCATCTGGTGCCTTTTGAATGATCACGATGACACCGGCTGGTGTGAGCGCTTACTCTGCCGGGCGTGAGTCTAAAGGCCTTCTGTGATCAGCTCCTCTAATTCTGACAATGACTTGTGAATTGCTGCTGTCATGCTCTGTTTTTCCACTTGGGGGCCTGAAGCTTGAACAAGGACTTGCTGACCAGTGCATACGGCATAAACAATGTTGATTTTAATTTTTGCACTTGAAAAGCCCCACGGATTAGTGTTTTGTTTTTGTTTTCCTTATTCAGATAAAATAATTCTGGCCCTTGTCTCTTGTATTTGGTTGGGGGGATTTGGCATCTCATTGATATTTTGATGGTTTTGTGGACAGTGGGGAATATACGCTTACATTTTTCCATGCATGAAAGTTGAAACCTCTTACTTATTTTAAAATTCGGGATGGTGACAGAAAGGAAGCTGGATATAGACAAATCATTTAAGAACCCAGAGGCAGCTCAGGTCATCTGCCATATTTATTACAGTCTTCAGCATCTTGTCCCAGCAAAAATGTAAGCTACACTTTACGTAGCGAGGTATTGTTCACATTTGGAATAAGGGATGGGTTTGCCAGGAAGCTGATGGGGGTGCTGATCTAGAATATATATTTAGACAATATTTAAACAACCCAGAAACATAGTACTTGTTTCTTGGTATCCTGACACAATGAACAAAATGTAAATTATTAGCCCCATTCATGCAAAAATAGATTTCACTAAAAATTCATTGCCATCAATTCTAAATAGGGTAAGATGTTAGATTACACTCAAGGCTTATTGAACATCTTATTTTGAATATAAAGAGATATGAATGTTTACCCATAGAAAAGTCATTTCTTCCCACCTTTGCTAAATAACACGCTGGTCAAATCTTGAAGCCTTGCTCTGCAGGGGCACCAGCGTCCTAACATTCCTGGCATCACCTCACTTCTCTGTCCAGCTCTGTTTTATGTATGAACCAGGCTGACCCCCTAGCTCTTTCTGTGTTGATGTTTCCTCTTACCTTTCTTTTCTGAACACCTACTGCATTCTGGGACCCCCCCATCTCTGTTCCTCATATACCTGTCTTCCTAAAGCTGCTTTTGTGCCCCCGAAGATAGCCCCATCAACTTTCAAATAAGGTTGCCGGATAAAATACAAGACATCCAGTTAAATGGATACTTCTGATGAACAACAAATGGTTTTTTAGCATAAGTATGTCCCAAGCAATATTTATGGCACATCCAGAATATTGCATGGGACATACTTATGCTAAAAAATTATCCATTGTGTATCTGAAATTTTGTTTGCTGTATCTGGCAACCTTGCTTGCAGAGATAGACCTCACTAGTGGTTCTGAGTAATTTCTTGGAAGATAGGGGTGTGTGTGTGTGTGTGTGTGTGTGTGTGTGGTGAAACTGTAAAATTACTGCTTGGTTGGGTACGTTAGTCTTTGGTTTATAATTTAACAATAAAACCATCTCTTTCATTAGTGAAAACAAAAATATGAATGGTCACTCCGCCGTGCAGAATGTCTTCCCGAACAGGCCATTACCGGACACTCGCCGTGCTTGTGAGAGGCGTTCATCTTTCCCTGGATTAGTGAGCACGCAGGAAGTTCACGTACATTCTGCTTCTCCAAACCACCGGAAGCTTTCTTTTGGTTCAACCCCCACATGCCTTCCATTAATTAGTACATCACGGTGCTTAAAAGCCCTGAGCTGAAAACCTGGGGGCCGGGATTTTATTCCTGGGTCCTCACTTACCGGTTGCGGGAACCTCAGTGTGTTTCTTAACCTCTGACCCTCAGCTTCCTGGTCCCAAAGGGGACGATGTAACTGGCCGTCAGGGTTGCTGGGAGGGGGAAGTTGATAGGGATGCGAGCGGCTGAGAGGGGCCGTCACTGGGTACCCTGTCCTCCGCTCTCTCTCCCGCCTTCGCTCTCGGACTCCTTTGGTTTCCAGGGAGAGGAGCGCGGCCTGTGAGGGTGCGGGATTCTCCACGCCCTTGGTCAGCGCCCTTCCTTGGAAGCAGGTTTCCAGGCTGCCTGCCCCAGAGGCGGACACCAGAGGGCGCCCCAGCACCGCCGACCGCTCCGGCCCCCGGCCCCCTGGCGGTCCCGGCTCCAGGCTGACCGCGGAGCGTGCAGAACACCCTGTGACTGCAAGGTCCCGAGCTCCTTACCGATCCTCAGGGTCAGTTCTGAGCTGAAATCCAAAGGAACGGAGGACAAATGACATGCGCTAACCTTTCCTGGTTATTTAAAAACCTTAGCATAGCATGGAATGGAAATGAACCAAGTGTATCTGAATTTGGGTGACAGAGCAAACTGTTTTGCCATTTTACCTGCAGGGAGGATGTGCCCGAAAAACCCTCTCAGCTCTTTGCAAACAAGAACCCAGAGCCAAGTGCCAAGCCTGGGTCCAAGGGCACCTCGCTGCTGGCCCTTTCCCTAGCAGCCTCTTTGTGCGGAACTTGCCTGCACCCAGGAGGGCTGAAATGGCACCGAACCCTCGTGCTTGGGGTCCAGGAGCCTCCCTCTCTCAGTGCCCAGTTTCCCTCTCTCTGTCTCCCCTCTCCAGCCGCCCACGGTGTCTCCCTCCCCAGTTCCTTCTCCATCCGCCCCGTGAGTCTGAGGCCCTCCTCGCGCTGCGCTGTGTGAGCCCACCCTTCGCTCGCTGCGCCCCGGCCCCCCGCCCCCCCCGCGGCGCTGAAGGACTCGGGCCGCGGTGTCGGCTCCCCTGACCGCCCGGGCGCCCAGCGCGGTGCAGGGCGCGGTGCGAGGTGGAGGGAAATGTCAGGCACGGTCTCCGCCCCGGAGATTTTGTGATCGTGTCAGGGAAACTATGGACGTTAGTAGGTAATCAGGGTTGACTCTGATCTATCTACAAACGCCGTGGGATTTCAGAGAAGTGAGAGTGAAAAGATGGCATTTGGCTGGGCTTTGACTGTCAGGTGAGCAATTTTGGAGGGGAGCCCTGGTGGGGTGCTGCGCCTGGCATTCTCCTCAGCTGGAGAGGTTAGAGGGGACGTGATGATGTAGTGGAACCACCTTCTTTCGTTAAGGTGCTTTTATCCAACAGGAGAGCTGAGAACGCACCACCACCTTCATCTCAGAGAACAGCCCCGCACAACGGTGCACAGCCACGTGTCACATGGGAGCAGAGGCGGGGGACGCTCCACGGAGACCCTGCTCCCAGGCCACGCGGCCAGCACGGGGGCAGGAAACAAAGTGTGGGTGGAAGAGCGGACGATCCGTCCACGCGGGGACCAGCTGGTCACCCTGCAAGCACCCTCAGGGTCCCTCCTGCACCCTCCGCAGGGCCCTGACGGCAAGGAATAGGACTGCGATCCTTCCTGTGTTTTTCACTTCACCTTCCTGGGGGTCTAAGATTCACCAGCAGATTTCACCGATGTTCTTTCATGAGAGCAGATAATCCGTATCAGGTTTGAAATGTGAAAACCAGAAAATTTCTCGGGCTATGTTCTTTGGACTTCTATGCCATACTCACATCTTAGGCACAGAGCTGTGGCTTTTGCAGTATGTGTGGCACTGCCTGCTTGACACCCTTGGGTGTCACGGGCTTGTCCTCGGCGATCTGGTGGGAAGGCAGGCTCCCACTGGCAGCTGGAGGCCCCGCTCGCTCCTCTGCCAGTTCAAATGCCTCCAAGCCTCTAAGATACACTGGGAGGCCGTCTTTTCTGCATGGATCTCCCCCTTCCTGAATGTCACCAGCCCTCGTGGTGCATTACTCCCACCTTATCCTGTGGGAGAGCCGTCCCTGCATCCACCGGTCACAGCTGTGCCCATGGTCACTGGGTGCACCATATTTGGGGCAGCCTCTGCTCTCTGGACCAGATCGTACTTTGGCATCTTTTAATCACAATGAGAAAGAAAATGTTAAGACCCAAGATGTAGAGACTGGCCCACGTGGGTGGAAGGCCCTATATGCTCTTCCAGGGCGGTGCTCAGAGTTTCCAATGTGTTCTGCTTCTCGGCCCTGCCCCCAGGTGGGGACCTAGAGGTGTCTGAGCAGCACTCCGCCCCAGGAATGCACACACAACGCAGAGCCTGGCCCGCTTTGCACCAGCACCAAACAGAGCTTCTCTCCATCTCTGTCTGATTTTAAGCAATCAGAGACTTGAGGAGAAAACAAGGCCAGCTTCTCTTTGCCTGATTTGGAACACAAAGGGAACATTCCTCCCTAATCTATTGCTTTTCTCAGGGCAGAAACTGTCCATGTTGGAGAAATCCAATTACAGGTCTCTTTTCTCTCTGATCTGTGCATATCCGAAAGAACCAGCAGGCAGCGCTTCCCACCCGAGGGGCGGTAGCTCAGAGGTAAGCAGGTGAGGGCCGTGGGGGCCCGTCTTGCAGGAGAAGGCGGGCGCCCGGGACCTTGCTTGGGACCCGCGGTTGGCGCTGCTGGCCCCCCGCCCTGGAGGGAGGACGGAGGGCTCCATAGAAGTTGTGGAAGGTTGCTTCTGTCCCTTTCGGGGGTTTTCCAAGTAGCTACCATTATATGGTTTGTTTCATCCTCAAATTTTATTGAGGACCTATTATCAGTCCCCTGGGCCCACCGTAAAAACTGCCACAGATGGAGTGGTTTGACTGACACAGATCTGTCGTCTCTTGGTTCTGGAGGCTGGAAGTCCCAGATCCAAGTGCCGGCTGGGTTTGGTCCTCCTGAGGCCTCGCTCCCCAGCTTGCTGATGTGTGTCTTCATCTTCGCTTCAGTGCACGTCTGCGTGTCTTGTATGCGTGTCTGTCTCTGCGTTCAAATGACCCCCTTTGATGAGGACCCCAGCCGTGTTGGATTAGGGTTCCCCTAATGACCTCATTTTAACTTGATTTGCTCTCTAAAGACCTTATTTCCAAACCAGATCACATGGTGGGGTCCTGGGGATCAGGGTTCTGACACATGCATTTTGGGGAAGACACTGTTCGATTCACAGCAGCTGTCAGGGCTGAAGTCCTGTCCCCTCTTCCTCACGTGTAGGGGTGTCTTGGTTTATTTTTACATCTGTGTCTAAGTCCACATAATTGGCACCAGTGAAGCAGCTCCTGGGGGCCACACAAGTGTTGCGTGGAGCTTGCTTATGTGACAGGTCAGTACCCAGAACCACGAGCTTGGGAGGAGAATCGGGCGCGGAGTGTGGGCCTGCACTGCCCTCTGTCCACAGATGTGCCCGCACCCCCGGGGCCCCCCTCGTCAGGACCTCCCTCCCGGAACCTTAATTCTCTCGGGAGCTGGAGGCCCGGTGCTCCATGGCGCTGCTCCAAGCCCTTAAGCCCGACCCAGGCGCTCTTTTGTGTCCTTTCCTAAATACAGAGAACCTTCTCTGCCAAGCCTGGAGTCAGTGATGTCCTTCCTAGTGGCAAAAAGTAAAACCTGTCTGATGTCTGTGATGCTAACAGTGTTGTGCCTTCCCCTCCTTGTCCCTCAGGGAGCCCTGCGGGGCTGGGCCACCGCCCCCCAGCCAGGACCCCGAGGACTGGGCGACTTCCTTCACGGGAGGGAGTGTGGGAGTGGGCCTCAGGGGGAGTGCAGTTATGTGGCTTCAGGAGTATGTTTGCAAACTTCATGTTTTCCTTTTGGAAACCGTCTGCCCGTGTAATCCGAACTATTTTTAAAAATTAAAGCTTGTCCAAACCTTCTAGTTTGGAGCTGCAGACGGTGTTTTGGTTTCAAGCTGTATTTCAGGATGATTTACGTAGCGCTGGGTCTGTGCGAACCAGCCAGGCTGTGGGAGAGGCCCAGCCTCATGCGGGAGCTGAATCAGCCGCGTTTCCCCATCCCCCGCCCCAGCCCCATTCATCACGGGGACTCTGGGGACACCTTGCACCCTCAGAGATGCTCACAGGGTCTGAGTTTCTGACGAGACCGTGCGTTTACTTGACTGGCCCCCAAACAAGGTGACTCCCTGGTAGGGTTAGACGATTCTAGAGTTTTCTACTGGGGTCTCAGAAGAGACTCTGAAAGCAGACAGCTGACCCGGGCAGAGGCTCTCATCAGACTGTCCCTTCTCTCTCACCCTGTCGGGAACAAGATGAAGGGTGACCGTATGTCTGGCTGCGGTCGCCTGGTTAAAGCACTAGTTTCATCAGGTGACACTTCCCGGCTGCCACTCAGAAGGTGGCTTCAGAGACCCACCCCCTAAAGCCACCAGAAAGGATGGTTCCCTCTGCCTCTCTCCTGGTTTGTTATTTTATTTATGTCCCTAAGAAGGGGCACTAGGTTCCCTGAGTCTCAGTCACACTGTTCGCATCCAGTCTTGGGGAGAGAGGGCGACAGATGTGTGGTGGAGGAAGTGGAGGTGATGGGGGAGCTGGGAAGGGGGGCGATCCATCTGGACCTGGAAGAGGGGGGTGGGATGGAGAAGGCATCAGAACCCCTGGTGGCGTGGGGGTGGGGG